ATGGTGATTTCTTAAATTTTCAAACTGGAGGGGCATTATCTATATTAAGCTCAAAACTAAGGGGGTTTCTCAAATTAAAATATTCGAGGGGGTTTCCGTAGAAAATTTCTTTATTTGAGGGGGTTAAGTGAGGAGAGTTCAAGGAATTATCTCAAAGTTTCGTAATTGAGGGGGTTTATCTACAATATGCTTAAACTTGTGGGGGTTTCCTCATATTAAAATAGTTAAGGTGGTTTTTCTAAAATTAATCTATTTTTTTAAATATAAAATTATGAAATCCCATTAATATGGTGATTATAAGAAACCATTATTAACTTTTAGATCTTATCTGAAAAGCCCCTCAACTTTGAGATTTTATCAGAAAATTCCTCAAAAATTATAGCTTTTAGAGGGGTTTCCTGATAAAATCTCAAAGTTAAAGGGGTATTCTGATAACCCTAAAATTTAGTGGAGTTTATGATATTTTTAAAGTTATGGGGGATTATCTGATTATCATCCAAAGTAAACAGGGTATTTTTTTTTTTATATTTAGCTTTGTAAATATTTTACTTTATTGGCATAGCTATTTGCACTAAACATGGATATATTGTTTACTTAATAATTTACTATATCAAATAGGAAAAATACAACATTTTACTATAAGCAACAAACTCAGTGGAAAAGGTTTTTATTTTTAATTTTTTTATAACTAAAAACGATAGTTTGAAAAGTGAAAACTTGGATATTATGTATATAAAGTTATGTATATTTTACTATATTTAGGCTTTTAAAATGTTCAATATATATGATAAATAAAAGGAATTATGTATATAAAATTATTCAAATAAGTGCTCTTAATTTAAAACTAAATTCTGATTTAATACATTTTATTTTAAATATTTTACATTTCTAATATTATACTTTATAGACACACGCAAAAAATGGTATAAATTAGTTTATCCATATTTAAGTTCTTCTGATGTTTTGATAATGAGATGTTCAATATATATCATTTTAAAATATTTAGGGTCTTCACCAATTGTGATCCCTTGAGATGTTCAATTGGTACATTGATGCGGCATAAACATGTACCAAAAAGGTTGCAAGTGCACAACCGTGTCAAGTTATAGTATTTA